ACTCAGGACAGCGCATCTCCGCTTTATTCCTGTTTATCTTACTGTGGCATATCCGCGAAACTAAATTTGCTTGCTGGGCATCAAGTCCCCGCTCTGAGTCCCGGCTCAGCTCGACGACTTGATGCTCGAGAGTGATGGGCCCTACGTGCCCGGGTTTTTGTGGTTTTTGTTAATTTTTTTGGTGGCCGAAGCCGGTTTTTGTTAGTATTTTTTTGATTTTTTTGGTGGCCGAGGCCGGTTTTTTGTGTTTTTTGTGATTTTTTTGGTAGGTAGCCTGTGAAAAGAAAATCATAATTAGTATAAAGTCTATATCATAGCAAAGAAAATAAATAAATATTATACATTACCACAATATAGGCTGTATCCTAGTTTTGGTCTAACTTATGATTGGTGGTTGCACTTTATACAGCCGGTCTTTTTTTGGTCACTTATAAGTTATTTGAGAAGTGCCACATTTTCAGAAAATAACTCAAATCGGTTGCGGTTTATAACATTAGGAGTAACATTATTTTGAACATCCACTTTGTTGACGAATAATCTCGAATGGAATTCATTTGCACTATTCCAATGTAGCCCAGTAACCTAGAAATTGTGCAAATTCATTTCGTCGCGTCATTGGACACCTCGATGAATATGGTGTCCGCTCGTTTTGAACGTCTCCGGTTGGCCATGGCGGACACCGGTGTCCATACGAAGTTTGCGCCAGGCCAAAGCGGACACCGGTGACCGCTCTATTTTTTTTAAACTGTTAACAAAAAATGGTTCGAATGGTGAGGATTCGATTTGAATGCGGATTAAATGTTAAAATTTTGTTTAATATTGCTTTGGTTCAGGGGAACATTTTAGTGAAAAATCCTTGGCGCTAAACCGTTTAAAATTGATTCAGGGCGTAACTGATATTCAAAATTGAGAGTTGCTTCAATCGTGGTTTCTGAGAAAACTATTCATTCTGCAAAAAAAAGTGCTAATAAACTTTTTACTTCAAAATTATCTCAGCTACATTTTTTATTTGAAACGTTTATTTTTTTCTACGGCGTACAGATTCTTGGTAAATCGATTTTTCCCTTTTCCTGCCTACGTGTGTTAGATTTTAGTGAGACGCCTGGGAGTGGGAGTAGTTAACTTTTTTGCATCGTTTTATGGTACCAAAATTTACATTCCCAGCAAAATTCAGATTTTTTTTCTCGTTCTTAGAGATCAAATCTCTGACGGCTCGACTAAAGAGGATGATCAGGAAATTGGAAATAGGCTAGGTGCTAGATGAGTTGATTATGCACAACGAGATCAATTATTTAAGACAGAAAAGCTTGTAAATCGCATAAATGTAAAATTTATTGACATATGATATATACATATTATATCGTATGCTTGTTGGAAATCTATAAAGAGATTATGGTATGTTCTATTGAATCCCCATAATTGTTTGAGGAGCTGCTTGCAGTGGAACATTCTGATTTTTCACAAGAGTGGGTTGTTGACCTTCTGCTTAAACCTCCTCCTTTTTCTGGGCTACTCGATCCACTTAACAGTCATTTCAGGCAGAGAGCCAAGCATACGACATTCTTAAAAGGGACCAGATGTGAAATGCAATGGCGGAACTTCAAATTCTAAAAAAACTTGTCCAGCTCGTTAAAATATATTTAAATGGCTGTAGACCCAGATTATGGATAGGTAACAAACTCTCAGAAACGAACCAAAGTTACTACTAGCATACGCGGATGACATTAACATTATTAGGAACACCGTTACCAATGTAAAGAAAACTTTCAACAAATTAGAGGTAAAGGTAAAAAACTGGTCTAAGGGCCAATGAAGAGAAAACTAAATATATGGCCAGTAACAGACAAAAGAGATCAGATATAATAGGCCAAAATGTAACAACAATTATAACAAATGTAACACTATTAAATGCAAGAGCCTAACATGAAGATCAAAAATCAGGATATATAAAACAGGGATTAGACTGGTTCTCATGAATGGGTGTGACCGGTAAAAGCTGACAAAAAGCAATGAACAGAAAGTTGTTCCTCCAGAAATCCTCAGAAGGATCTTGGGACCCTATCACTGCACACGAACAAATGCCGAAGTCAAACATATATGTAAGGTTGGCGACGTCGTCCGCGAAATTAAATCTCAACGTCTAAAATGCCCATGGGTTCCCTAATAACCGCCTTCCTAGTTTATGGAAGAAAGATTCGGCAGGGAAAAGCTACCCACTGACTCATGGACGACCGTTTGTTATAGAAGCAAGTTCTGCAGTCAGCCAAGACCCACCCCGGGTTGTAGTGCTACGAGAAGAAGAAGACATAATGTCGATGATGGTAGCTATATAAAATAGCAGATAACAGGTAAACGGTGTAAAGATGCTAAGAAAGTATAAACTATCACCAAAATGAAGATATAGACTTCAAAAAAGAGGCAAAAGAAAGCTATGAAGAAATAATCCTTGCCGGAGATATAAAAATCTAAGCTACATCTTAACTACTTTTGCTTCCGCAAAAAAGGCACCAACCAGGGTTGATTTGATTCAGTTATCATTACTGTTAGTTCTGGAAGTTCATTGTTGCTTTCCAAAACAACGTGTATAACTAAATTTAAATTGTGTCAGGCACATGATAGTCTCGTGTAAGCCCGAAATGCTAGAACTACGTTTGAGAATATTCTGTAACAATTATATCTTTTGAAAGTTTGGTTTTAGCTTTATCTCCATAATACTCTTTTAATATGTCCATAGTAAATTTCTGTATGTTAAAACTGGTTTTATTGCTCCCAATTCGCGAGTTCCAAGTGCATATTTCCTAAGATACATATTATCATTGAAAACATGAGCAGATAGATGTGTATTTTTCTGTTAAGCATATCCGCTCTTTCGGTAGGAATCTAACGAGGAGTAACACCGAGACGCAAGTCATCATTTCTTGCCGTACTGCTCATCAATTGGTCGTTCTGTTACACCAGCATTTTCCTGTCTAAGTAGCAGATTTATTTAAAATTTTAAATCACGACGTGAGCCTTTTGGTTTTCTAGCCGGGGTCTGAACCATTGTCCGCTAGGTTATTCACAGTGAAGTGAATGTGATTCACTTCACTGTGAATATCCGTTTGGCTATCTGACCGACAGAAGTGATTGTAACATTCATTTTATTCTGTTACGTTATCATGGTAAAACCGTTCTTGTTAAATTTCTTGTAGAAGCTAACATGTTTTCACATCATGTTTACCAAATTCTGTAGCTAAATTGATAAACTTTAGGACAAATTAAAAAAATATAGTTGAGTAAAAGGGCCTGCGTAGCGCAAGCGGTAGTGTGCTTGCCTCGCATGCCGGTGGTCGTGAGTTCGAATCCTACCGCCGGCAAGAACAACTAGGCATTTTTAAAAATGTCTATAGGCCCCAGGTCGACTCAGCCTGAATAAAATGAGTACCTTGGGTAAAACCAGGGGTAATAATAGGCGGTTGAAGCGTAGCACTGGCCATGTTACCTTCCTTGTATACCGTAGGCCCTAGATATAGCAGACTACCCTGCTATACTCCCAAAGCCGCGTGCGGTATAAAACGGGAGACTATTATTATATTATTAGTTGAGTAAAAAAGGCTATAAAAAATATAATAAAACTTATATTTTGTTATATTAATTTGACGAAGATCTTTTGCAATAAAAGTTTAATTGGTGCTTAATAAAATCAATTTCTTTTTTGAAGTTGGCAACGATTTAATTGAAAATTTTTTAAGGTAGGTTTTGCTGTTACCCAGAAGATATTAAAGAGAACATTTATATCTTAAAAGGACTTACAGTTTTTTGAAAACATCGCAGTATCTTTGTATAGTGAATACACCGTCCAAACCTTGAATAACTACTTCATAGTCTAGTGATTTCAAATACACCCACACTGATTTATGTATGTTTATGTTTAAGAAAGATATATAGAGAAAGATTTTTTGCCGGGTTTTTTTTGTTTCAATTTCCTCTTTCACTCTGAAAAATCGACAATAAAGCAACCTGTCGAAAGTTTAGACCTTAAATATGCGTAATATTGCGATGAATGAGATTACCAAGATTAATCCCTTAACGTTAACCGCCGCAGCTGATGCAATGGGCGGGAGATCGTCCAATCACCAATTGTTGTACGTCACAATCACACTCCATCGCTAATATTCACGCTAGGTCACGTTCACTCTCGAAAAGGTTACTTACGCTGACGACGGGTGTCTGATCCCTCCTGAATCCCGTTATTTCACGTAACGCGTCTAACACTAAAATTCTCTCATTCATTATTTATATCTGGGTTCGTTGCTTTTTGTTCGAGAGATTGATTTAACCATCATTAATGAAGATCTTATATACTTTATTCCTTTCTCTTGACATTTTGCCAGTAAATCCTAAACAGTCTTTATTCTTCTAAAAATTGACTGGGTTATATAATTCCCAACTAAGACCACTTATGCCTAATAATTTTTTATAATCAAAGAGAACGTGACCTTACTTATTGTAATGTCTTGATCACAAAAGTGATATTAATATAATAGTTTTGATCACAATAATACTCTTAATATATAATACCTTAGAAGGGAGTTTGTCAAAATAAAGAATACCAATATTTTTTGTTCAATCACAAATTAAATCTTTAATTTGTAATCTCACAAAAACCTGTACGTTACTATATATAACTGTGTAAGCATCTAAGGACAAAGGCAAAAGTTACGAAGGTACAAGGCAATGGCCCTTTTGATGAATAGTTTTATTTGTGAGTTCATAATTTGGGGTTGAATTCTGGTGTCTTGTAAGTCTAACTGAATATTTATAAAAAAAAGAACGTGAAATCGGTTTGAAGTTACGTCGAGTGTACTTATTTATTTGGCTAAAAATAATCATTTACACCATGACTTCGAATTATTTCACATCATCGATCGAGAAATTCGGACATACTGCATTCGAATTATATTGTATTTAATTTATACATTTTTTATAAAATTTGTAATTTTTAATCTCTTTTTTTTTAGGTGAAACGACACACAGGAAAAGGTTTACCATCGTGGCTTCTCTTCGATAAAAAAGGAGGCGTTTTCTGGGGCGTACCGCTGAACCAAGATGTCGGAGTCCTCCATCTTACAATAAAGGCTATTGGAGATAAAGCTAACTCCGAAGAAATAACAATCAAAGTTGTAGAAACAACTGAAGATGCCGCAGGAGTAGAAAAATGTAAACCGAACGAGGAGAATACGGTTTTAACGTTACTGCTAGACAAAAATATCAGAGCTATTAAGCCAAAGCAAAGAGTGATCGCTATTAACAATATTGCCCAGTTTTTCGGATTGCCGCATGTAAGTAATTTTAATCAGTATACAAGTAAATCAAAAAGTGTTTGGCTAATATCCAAATATAGAAATCTTTGTCTTATGGTGGATAATAATTTTATATAGAATTGTGCAAGAAAGAAAAAAAGGGATACATCTTCTTGTGCCGTCTTCTAACGAAGGTTGGCGATCACTTCTTTAAACGCTTCTCGATCTTTTGCAACGTGAAATATCTGTTCAACACTGAGGTTAGTCCAATCTCTGATATTCCTCAGCCAAGATTTCTTCTTTCTTCCCAAGCCTTTTCTTCCCTCTACTCTACCTTGCATGATGACTTGTAGCAGAGAGTATTTATCGTTTCGGAGTATGTGGCCCAGATACGATGTTTTTCTTATTTTAATTGTGTTCATAAGCTTTCTGCCATGTCCAACTCGTCTTAACACTTCCTCATTTGAGACTTTTGCAGTCCAAGGAATCTTCAAAATACGCCTATATAGCCACATTTCGAATGCCTCCAATTTTTTTATAGATTGGGCTTTCAGAGTCCAAGCTTCTACCCCATATAGTAGTTGCGACCAAACATAACATTCGACGAACCTCAATCTGATGGCCATACTCAATTTCTTATTTGTAAACATTGACTTGTATTTTATAAAGCCTTTTCGAGCTATTTCTATTCTGACCTTTATCTCCTGCTCTTGATCTAACTGTGAGTTTATAATTGCTCCGAGGTATTTATATTTGTCGACTCTCTCTAGGGGTTTACCCTCCAATGTCAGTTGTATGTTGTCAACAGGGTTTTTTGAGATCACCATGTATTTGGTTTTATTTATATTCATTGTTAGTCCCATCTTTTTGCTTTCTCTGTTAATGATTTCCAGGAGAGTTTGTAAATCGTCTATATTCTCTGCCATGATTGCGGTATCGTCTGCAAATCTTATGTTATTAATGATGCTCCCTCCAATCCTTACACCTTCAGTTCTTTCCCATAGTGCCTCCTGAAATATTAGTTGGGAGTACACATTAAATAATTGTGGCGACAGCACACATCCCTGTCTGACTCCTCTTTGAATTTCCACCTGGTTTGTCTCACTATCTTCCACCCGTACGACCGCTGTTTGATTGTAGTACAGATTTTTGATTAAATTAATATCCTTGGGATCTAGGTGTATGTGTTTCAATGCATGTATGAGTTTACCATGTTGGACTCTATCAAAAGCTTTTTGGAAATCTATATAACATATGAATACGTTTTTATTATATTCCCTGCATTTTTGTAATAGTACCGTCATTGCGCACAGTGCCTCTCTTGTTACCATTCCACATCTAAATCCAAACTGTGTATTGTCTAATTGTTCTTCACATTTTTTATATATACGCTGCTGAATAACTTTGAGTAGTATTTTTAAAGTGTGGCTCATAAGGCTAATTAATCGGTACTCATCGCAAGATTTAGGATTATTTTTCTTGGGTAAGGGTAAAAAGATAGATTTTAACCATTCATCCGGGATTTGACCATCGTGGTATACTTTATTAAATAATTTAGTTAGACACTCTATATTTTCATTTAGAATTATAATAAGTTAATAGGAGAATATAATGGTTATTCTATATATGACGACAAATCTTGATGTAGACTAAAACTTAATATGTCTTTAATTTGAGCTTTTGTCTTATTTATTAATTACCACATTTTTATATAAAAACCTTTTTCTAGTCGCCAGAGAGTTGATCCTTAAAAATCATACGAACAAGCTGAATTTTGCACACAATATTAATTTTTGGAACCCCAAAAAAAATTCAAAAAGTTTACGACTTTTACCCCTGGGTTTCCCCTAAAACCTCCCTCGCAGGGGGTAAAAACGCAAAAAAATCTATTTACAACAATCTGTACACCATAGAAAAAAATGTTTCAAATAAAAAATGTAGCTGAGATAATTTTAAACAAAAATGTATATATAAGTATTTTTTGTGTAAAATGGGCCGTTCTCTTAAAAACAAGGCTTGAAGTGACCGTCGATTTTGCATGTCAATTACGGCCGCGAAATCAATGTTCAATAAAATTTGTACCAGCTTGACGGTAAAAATTCAATATTTTTATTTAAATGTCCTATCGACAAAAATCAAGATGCGTTTTAAAGACAAAGAGTGCATCTTTCGTATGCAGTTTTTGTATTTTGTCAAGGATGAACTCAGTTTTTATAAAAGTATTACACAATAAAATAGTTAATATTCACTTATCATGTTTGTTGATGAAATTTAGTAAAACAATTTCTATTGACACTACAACATAAAAAAACCTTGCACCGGGCACATTTGACAAACGTCAGGTTGTGGCATCCAGGATACCTGCATTTTGATCTTGATTTTTTGCTTTCATTAACGAATTCTGGAGATGTTTATCTTCCTTTGACAAGCGTTTACCAGGGATTGGTGCAGTATTTCTTCTTTTTCTGGTTACATTTTCATTTTCTTCGTCACATTCGTCGGATGTGGGTTCACTTCTGTTATTGGAGTATAAGAGCGATCTAGCAAGCGAAAACCTTAAATGACAGGTAATCTTGATATTTTATTTGTTCTACTGCTCATAGGGTACATTGACATAATCCTATCCAGCAAATCTACTCCACCCATGCTTTCATTGTAGTGCTTAATCACTGCTGGACGATTTATTTCTATGTATTTTTTTATCTTTTACTGACCAGCGCCTACACAATCCCAAGGGTTTAGCTCCAAATGCTGATGAAGCCATATAGATTGGTTTGGAATCAACCATTTTGTAACAGCTATTTTGTTGTCTTTGTTAACGAGCATATCGTGGGAGCCTCTTCCTGATTTTCTTAGATCTTTATCTGTCTTAAATGTCACATCAGTTTTTGGTATTCTATTTTTCATTAGTGTTTCTGTTGCATAAAGCTTCCATGAATGTAATGTATCAATAAATATTTTTGACTTAAAGTATCTGTCAACAAAAATAGATACTCTTACTGGCAGAGTATCTGTAAATTTTAAAACAACCCTTCCCCAGATATCCAGTTGTTCTGGTGCAAGTACCAAGCTGGATTCAATAAACCTGCCTTTACCTTCATACATGTGAAAATCAAGTGGAATCCCCCCTCCCTTGACATGTTGTCTGACTCTATGGTACCCTGCTATCCATTTGCCAAAACATTCGGATTTGTGGTAAATTATAAATACCAATATGCAAGCAGCATGCAATAAACGTTTTTAATTCTTCTGCAGAAGTCTCCAAAGATTTTCCAGTTTTTTTACTTTTTAAAAAAATTGTGGACAAAGAATTATTGTACCATCAATTTATCACAATTTTAATTTAGTACCTTTTTTAACACTAAAATACACTGATCATACACAGAAACATGCTAAATATTATGTACTTACTTTTATTATTGATGATTTTTTTAGTAAAATACACTAATCATACACAGAAACATGCTAAATATTATGTACTTACTTTTATTATTGATGATTTTTTTAGCGTCTGCCATGACGTATTTACTTACAACAAAAGTCTGACTAACTCATTTCAATCGAGAAGTATACCACGGCGCAATTTTCTACGCATAGTAGATGCTTAAACGTGGGCGATACTTACGGCAGAATAACTGCATTTGTCGTCGAATGCGACGACAAATTATTTGTTGAACAGTAGTATCATATTATGAAAGCTGAGGTCCGAGGAGGTTAAGAAGACGGTTTTGGATATAGTTTATTGCAGATGGTTTGTTATTTTGAGAAAAGTACTAGTGTAATTGAAATAAAAAATTTTAAATGTTATAGATCGTTTGTTTTGTGAAAGTTTAAATCTCACGCTTTTAAAGCATATTCAAATGTCTCACATTTGTTGCCAAAACTCAAAACTAAAATTTCATGCTATAGGTTTTAAAGGTTAGGTACTAGTAATCAAAACTTCATAGTAGCCAGTCAATGAAAGGGACTTTTTTGCATCTTGTTTGGGGTCTTAAAATTAATATTTTCGGCAAAATTCAGCGTTGTCGTATGATTTTTAGAGGTTCAGTTTGTGACGATAATATATTTTATCGTCTAGAGTACGCCTATGTGTTAAACAAAACATGTTTTTGTTCCGTCTCGAATAGTATAAAACTGATAATAAAGACTAGTAACATTCTCGACGAGTGAGTTGAGAATATCCGACCTTGGGGACAGGTGAGTTGAACGTGTCCCAAATCCTTCCGAACCCAGTCGATCTGGCGCGTTGAGCGAGATTGACAATCCTTCCTCTGGCTGCGTCAATCTGGTGCGTTGAACGAGATTGGCGTATTCTTTCTATCTGGTGCGTTGAACTAGATAGACATCCTTATCCCTGTCCAAGTACTCGTTCTGCGTTGAGGAACGAGTACGACCTCAATTCCTCGATCGCCGTATCTTAGTTTATCATATCGAATATCGTCACACCCATCTACCGAAATAAATAAACAGTACGTTTTTGTATTCAAGCATTATATTCAGTAGACACTTAACGATAATTACTTTTTCATTTGTATATGTTAATTCGAAATAAATGTCTATACGAACGAATCCTGTTTCTCTGGCTGGATTACACTACCCGACCTCACAAGTTGCATTTTCGTCTCTGACGACTGTACGTACCTATTTAATTAAGGTCCGTTACTTCTTTAGTTCTATTTTAGATTATCATTCAATCTTCGATTGTCCACTGCTGAGCATATATCTCCCTCATAATTTTTCATCTGTTTCGATCTTGTGCCTCTTGTATCCAATTACTATGTCAACTTTTTAGCTTGTCAATACAGAATGTTGGTGGACGACCTCTGCTTCGGTAGGCATCATCTCTTAGTCGAATTTCAGTATCCGTTTTGTCCATCTGTTATCTGTCATTTCAGCTACGTAACCTGCCCAGGTCCACTTCAGTGTTACTATTATCTCTAAAGCATCAGCCACTCCTGATCTTCGTCGTAGCTAGCGGTTTGGGATCTTGTCTCGTATTGAAACGCCCAACATAGCACGCTTCATCGCCCATTGATCCACACGGATCTTTTTCACTGTTCTCCTTGTTATAGTTAACGTTTCCGCTCCGTATGTCAACACTGGAAAAACTCACTGATGAAGGTTTTTCTTTTAAGACATATTGGTCTCTATTTTAGATAATGTGCAAATATAACGAACTTTTGGATGGCTCTTGTTCTAGTATTTGTAAATTCGCAGTACATTAGGTATAACAGTTTTATTAATCGAAAAATATTTTTAGTTCTGTTAATTTTTTTTGCTTCTCGATCCACTTTGCTTTGTTAAATTGTATATGATACGCTTTTTAGTCACTTAATAGTGAATACTTTTCTAGAGTGCCTTTACATTCAAACCTCAACTAGAAAAAGACGACATTACAGATAGTTCCGTAGTACTAGCCGGTCCTGGGAATTTACGATCAAGAACTTCCAAGGTAACATCTCTTTTGCAAGTAGCTGTAGGCTGTGATGGAAGACTGTGGCTCTCTACAGCGTCAATAGTTCACCAATTGAAGCAGCAAGCGAGAGACGGTACCATTGCCGAAGTATTACGCTTACCTCTGATCGGCTGGAGAGTTAAGACTGAAACAAAACCTGTTGTTAGAACTAAAAGAGGAGCTGACGTTATTGATGGTGATTATGGTAAGATATATTTATCTTGATTTACTACTGCGCTACCTTTTTTGAACTTTTTTCGGTTTCTGCTTACAAGCGAAGCATCAACATCTCCAGAAGATGCCAACCCCTAGTGTTGGCGAAACGTCGAGAACTAATCTCAACAGAAGACAACGGCCCAACAGCCCGAATAAACAGTTTAATAAGTTAGACGATGGCCGTGAAAGCCTAACGAATTTGTCATCATAATATTAATTTACTTAATTCTCTTTAATTTATTTTATTTAACTTTTATTATTTACTATAAAAAATTAGTCGACGTATAATCCATTAAGTGCCAAGATTGTATAAATTTCAGCTTCTTCTCCCATCCATACTTTTTGCTTTGATTTTCAGTTAAATTATCCAAGGCAAGGTCTGTATTTTGGACCTTACATACTATTGCAGGTTTTTTCGTTTATCGAATTGTGTTTCATTTCTCTATTCTTTACAATAAGTTTTTTTATACGTTGGCTTATTGGAAATCTTCCATTCACACATGATACCCGTTTCAAGATTCTAGAACTCAGCATCAGCTTGTCCAGTTCTAGAGGATGGGTGCCATATGTTTTTGTCTTCTTAAAGTGTTGGCCACCTGCGATCTAATAACTCGAAGTCATGCAAGATATGGTTGAGTACCTAATATCCTCTGCTACAGATTCTGAAGCTTAGTTTTATATGAAAAATCACCATTAAGACCCAGAAACTAAGGTGACTCATGCTTGTTTTTGCGTAATACTTCAGCTCTATTAGCAAATTCCTCCCAGTATACATTTTGTCATGTGCCTGACCATGTATATTTTCTCAGTAAAATTATTGCTGCTTTCGGATTTAGTCTTATTCCGGCCGCTTACGATGATTTTTGGCACTCTCACGGTCGGCTCTGGAACAAAGTATACTATAGCTGATGCAGTTGTGACACGTTTATCAGCTCTTTTATTTCCTGATGACCTGGAATCTATACCAGTGTGATACCGTTATGTTTTGCCAGCCTGTAAAATTCCTCTCATCATTCCCATTCGCTTATGTTAATCTAGCTTGCACAGAGCAAGAGTGTAAAATTCTCTGTCTGAATTACATAGGTATATTCTCATGATGGAATGGAAATGTAGTTTTAGACTTGTCTATGTACCATACATAACCGTGCAACCTGGATCGACTGTTTTCTCTGCCCCGTCCCTCTCATGGGCAAATGTCCACTAGGAAAGGACGGAGGTCGAGCAGGGTCTACTGCCGTTGGTGTGCCCTTCATAGCATTTTACTAGCATGTTATAGATTCCAATTAAGCCTCGAGTCTACTATTACCCCAAGATACTTTACTCAGCAGATTTAAATGTGTTCCATTTAGACTAAGTCTACCAATTAAACAAAATACCAAACCCTCTAAATTTGTGGTTCATGTAAATTACATGATTTTGGACTTTCCGGGAGTTTATGTCGAGGTCTATATTTGGAGTCCATTTTGTAACTATAGTTAGAGCCTATTGCATTCTATCTCTGTGCCATTAAATTTGCCATGGGCTAAGAGAACCAGGTCATCCGCACGACCCGGTCGTTACTGAGTGCAGCTATCAGCCCATTTATGACCAGTTTCCACAAGATCGGAGTTAAGACTCTTCCCTATCACAAGTTCTGGCTAATTATACTATGGTATTCCCCAGTAACGTCGCGATTATGATGCGGTTTCTCAGCATGCAGTCTCTCCATCTGCAGCTTATTCCGTCTCTTCTTTTTAAATGAATCGCTCTTGTGTAACGAATCAAATAATCGCAAGAAACCCATCCCAACAGAGATAAATGTAACGAAAATGACGAAACCCTCCTTAATATTTGGAATAACATAGATCTTAGGTTAAAAACAAAAGTTTTAGAGTTTTAGTGTGTCTGAATGTAATGTCAGAATAAATTTGTACTTTTATGTACTTATGTCATACAGAATAATATTAACGTCATTTTTGAAATCAATTTTCTTCAGCTTAAAAATCTTCATATTTTACTATAATAGTACATAAGCTACAAATCTTGTTTACCTTTAGGTAGCGGAGACTATAATGATGAAGACGAATATTATGACGACTATGAAGATTCTTATGACGGTGAAGGTCTCGGAGATGTGGAAAAGATGCCCCCGTCTGCGGCTGCTCCAGTTACTTTGCCCACTCCCAAAAAGACTACAAGTACTACGACAGTGGCTAGTTCTACTGTTTCGACTGATATTACTACTCATCTTCACAGACATCACCATGGAGAACTCAACCCTAGTATACCTGTAAGTGACTTTAAGCTTAAAACATTGACGTTTGTTAAACGGTATTTTATTTTTATAATGTATATCTTACCCAATGACATATAATAAATATTTTTTATACGTCAATCTTACCTTACAGTTACAGTACAGTTTACAAGTGCGAAAAAATAATTACTTAAATTTCTGATTAACAATATTTGAATCATCAATTTGTAGAATGAATTAGCGATATATCAACCGTATCGTTTCAAGAACAAAATATGCTTGAAATGTCAAATGTTGGTACTTCAGATTTCTGTCCTAGGTGACGTCGTTATCTTTCTGGACAAACGGTGTGACTTGTCACCATAAACTTTTATATAGATAGATAGAAAAAAAAACAAACAAGACGACTACCAAAAGTAGCACTACACAGTGTCTTTATACTAAACTAGTATAATTAAAAGACAAATTTCGATTTATTGACTTAAAGAAGGTCCCTGGCTGAGTACAAAATAAACAACTGAACGAATCCTAACATGCGACATAGTAAATGAAAGGGTAGCAAATAACGAATATACTGAGAAAAAAAAACAAACAAGGCGACTACCAAAAGACTGCTCAGTATCATTAATAATAAACGAATAGCGACATACGAGATATCATAGGGTAATATGAATACAAAATATATTTACTATAAGACAAATTTTGATTTATTGACTTTAAGAAGACCTCTGGCTGAATACAAAATAAATATCTTATCAAATCCTAACATGTGACATAGCAAATGAAAGGAAGGAAATAACGAATATGATTAGATAGAAAAATCAAAAATGGCGACTACCAAAAGGGTACTACACATTATCTTCATTATTAATGAATGTATAGCGACATACGAGATATCATAGGGTACTATGGTACTATAGGATAAAAATAGATTAACCATAAGACACATTTTGATTTATTGGCTTCAAGAAGGCCTCTGTCTGAGTTGAAAATAAACAACTAGCCCAATACTAGCAAATCAAACGACGTGAGACGTATAGTCCATATAATGTATATAGCGTGCCATCAATATATATATATATATATATATATATATATATATATATATATATATATATATATATATATACAGGGTATGATAAAAAAATCGTAATGTCAGGTGTTAGAAGTGCAGATCATACTTAATGTTTACTTGGATTGTATGCAAACATTTTATTATTTTAAAAATTTAATGACTGACTGTAGATAACAATTAACTGGATCCCCCGCCACATGCGACGGGCAAAGTTACTAGTATAATATAAACACATTAAAATCGGCTTTTTGTTTTAACATTTGTGTAACCTTACTTTTTAGAATGTGCACCATCAGACAACCCATAAAAACTTTAATGTAGAGGAGCCAGTCCCAGTGACAATCCAACCATATAAAACCCAGTCGTCTTCGCCAACTTCTACATCGACTGCTGGTAAATCTGAATTGCCTAGTTTTGGCAGAACTAAGCCTAAACCGGATGATATTCTTACTTACGAAGATAATTACGACTACGGGGAATATGATGATGAAGACGAAGATTTAGACGATCCTATTGAGAGTGAAACTGTTATCCCAGGTAGACTATAGAAAGCTTTAAAAAACTATATTTTATTTTTAAGTATACCTTAAAAACCATTATTTTTATTAAAAAATTTAACTAATTTTCTTAACTATTTGCTATTACTTACAAATTAAAGTAAAACTCCATCAATCACTCCATCAACTGAGATGCAAAAAATCCAACTTTTGGAAGCAAAACAGATAAAATCCATTTTGAAAATAATAATTAGGTTCCTAAGAAATTTTTTGAGATCTCAAGATTTCCGGACAATAAGTTACTCAAACATCTAAACATGCTTTACATGCTTTGAAAATAAAATAACTTAATATAAATGACCACCAATTTTTGCCTTTTACTCGAATGTTACATCTTTGGACTTAACGTGTTTTGCTTTTAAGCTACTCAGTGAAAAATTAGCGACAAATACTAATATATGTACTAGAGTTATTTCCACTTAGACAGAGATCAAAATTATATTTTCTGCTAGTCTCCTGATTAAAACCCAAATGTTTCCGATAGAATTTAACACTTAAAATAACATCAAAATAGAAACATACCTAGAAAACAAAATTGTGTGGTGGTTCCGCCCACTAACATTGCTACATTGTTTTAAATACGTTTATCTCATTTCCTTCCTTTGTAAGTCCATACCTACCTTAAATTCTTTTCGATACGGTATATCTCTCTGTAGCTGCATTTTTAGAGCGTATCACTACCAACAGTAGTAACCAATATCCTGTTAAACTGAACTATACAGACCCGGCAGCTATTAAGCGTTTCCAAATCAATTTTTATACTATCTGTAACTGCAATTTTATTGAAATTTATATATGTTTTTAGATATAAACAAAAAGAAGCAAACGTTTGTTCCTACTTTCGAAGATACCGAAAGCATAACGACTGAGGAGAGTAGGTCGAAAACTACATCTAAAATAGAAGCAGAGACTGAACCACCAAGTACATCTAGCACGTCAAGTACTACTACAAGTACTTCAACTACCAGTACAACTAGCACTACAACTAGTACGACAACAACCACCACAACCACAGCTGCTCCCACCACTATTGCTATTAGCTACACTACAACTGCTAGTACCACAGATCTTCCGACAACTTTCCAGATTGTTGTAGAAGGAGATATCGAGGTAATATTTTTTCTACATTGAAAATAACACCAAATCCATACATGTTCTATTAAAGTAGTTCATTATTTAATTTTTATTTTAAGAGAGCTAAATTAGGTTGTACCAAAAATGTAGCAGTAATTCAGATACCAATTGCTTTATTAATGATATACCAATTATTTTTTTTTGTATTTTTCCAGACTGACTTTACAACAGAAACTGAGAAGCCAACGCCCATAACACCAGAAATAGCTGAGCCAACTCAGTCATCAGAAGAGCCTACGGTAGCGAGCACAACGCAGTCGACAACTGTTATTCCTACAAATAGTAGCTCTGAATCGACAATAACGTACACAACATCGACAACACCGTTGACATCCGTTGAAATTCTTACGACTGAAATCAGTTCTACTTCAAAAGAACCTTCATCAACCCAGAAACTGACAACAGTAAGAGAAGTAACGGAAATTGAGTATCACGAAAACTTTGATCCTTTCATCGAAAATCGTCTTCAACAAATGTATGTGATAGCAGGAAAGATCTTCCGATTTGTGATACCACAGAATACTTTTAAAGATTTTGAAGATGAGTACGACCTAACTTATCAATTATTGGACTCAAATAATAGAACAGTGACAAACAATAGTTGGTTACATTTTAATCCTTCCCGGAGAGAGGTCTATGGATTGTAAGTACATCTTGCTTGTTATACAATTATATTTAGTGTATGTTATTACTACAAATAGTACATCACCCCAAAAATATAACATATCACATATTTAGTTTAATATTAAGATACTATATTTGTAATATCACTCACTGAGTTCCATAGTGGCACAACCGCAAATATGAACTAATGAGATAATTGACCATGAAGTTTCATGATATCATAAATGCCATTAAAAATTACAATTTATGGATAACAGGTCAATAGAAGAAATCAAATACGTGACAATGAAGGGTTAGATAATAAATTTGTTTCCATTGTATGAATTTCGAGAACTTTGATATACATATGAATGCCAGTATTGAATTGAAGTTTTATAGTGTTTTTGGCAAAGGTGGTCGTAAATAGTGACACAAAGAGTTCATAAAATAAACGTTTTTATTTTTTAATCATGTTTTTATTCTCATTAAATTTTTATTCGCATTAAATATATAATATATATATAAACACAACAATATTTATCTTACTAATAACAAAAAAAAATCTTAAAAATTATTATCAGTTATAAAAAAAAACCTCTACCAGGATAAAAACAACACAGCTACTTATCAATGTAATGTAAGTTGGTGTAAAATTCACTGATACATAAAGATGCAGTAAATCTTATACGTTTTTTGGCAATTAGAATTTGATTCTGATAGACTCATCAATTCCAATGTCAAGAGTAAATTTTGTTGGGAGTTCTGGTACGTATTTCTGTGAATAAGTTGACGGTTTTAAAATTAGATTCTTTAAATGAAGTTTTATACAGAAAAATGTTATTGGATTATTTTTTTCGACTTTCAGTATTGAAAGATCACTTAACTACTAACGTACTATCAGTATTTAAATTGAAACCAGCTTTTTCTGTTAATTTTTTCAAATCAAGGAAATCTTTATCCGTATATTCGACTACTTTAAATGGTGTTCCACTTTTCTTAGATGTTATTATCACTCCTAAATATTGACCTGGTGTATATATTGGACCCGAATGAACATTGTCGCCTTCGTTATGTGTGTGAGCAGTAATAATATTTATGCGTTATTGATTTTATTTCATAATTTGTCACAGCATATAAGAAAGCAGTCAGAATAAATTAATTTGTTTTTGCTGCCCAGCACAATTGCCTAAGTAAAACACTATAATTAAATACATTCGGTGCAGCAGACAGGTTCCTATTTCAGTCGCTCGTCGTTTTTCTTCGCCTTCGTGCCACACAAAACAACATATGTAAAGTCTTTATATTCATTATAATTTATTGTTCTTATTTATTAAAGGTTCTATACTTATCCCTCCATCTTCCTTTCCATCTCTTTCATCTTTTCTTCGAAGGCCAACATATCGGCAGCAACTTGGTTTTTTAACGAAGACACTCTATCGTCGAGCGCAGACATCTCAGAAGTGACTTTAGAGATGTTAGCAGAAACTTTGCTCTCCAGAGAAGAAATCTCGTTAGAAACTTTGCTTTCTAAAGAAGCGATGTCGCCGGAAACTTTCGAAATATCGCCAGAAACTTTGTTCTCTAATGATGCGATGTCACCAGAAACTTTGTTCTCTAATGATACGATGTCACCAGAAACTTTGGAAATCGACGAGATGATAGCAGCATGTTTGTCTTCAAATATATACGTTTCTGGATCCAAACCCTCTTCTTTTAAAGCGTTTTTTAGTCGTTGGACTAAATCAGCCTTTTTTCGGGTAGAAGCTAATTACCTGTCCTCAAGATGTCTTCTTAAATCCGTAACTGTGAGCTCATAAATCGTAGCCATTTTCACAATTTCACTTCTGAACACCAATGTAAAGTCTCTATATTAATTCTAATTTATTGTTCTTATTTATTAAAGGTTCTATACTTATAACACTCACAAATTTATTAAAGTCTTTATTACTACTAATTTATTTTACACTTAATAATTATATAATTTATTTACATTTATACGTGCGTTACATTTAAATACCCGTCGCGAATTTATCTTCTTACTGGTCTTTTCCGCAAAAAGGTTTCTATTTATACCACATGCCGTTATTTCGAGAGTTCCGGTGATTCCCTCTGAATAGACTAGAAGGTCAATCGACCGGATCTTGATTTGACCGGTTTCTGGAACCATCGAATCGTAGGGGAGCGACCGTTTCAGGTAGATATTTCTTGGAATTTCTGCCAGCTAATAAAATCTAGAACATAAAAGTGAATCAACAACATGTTTACAGGTTTTTTTTTAATATGACTCATATTTTTTTACGTAACAATACATTACTGGCAACAGGCTTATTTTCTTTCTGACAATCTTCTGTATAATCTCTATATAACTGTGCAATTGTTTTACTTCTTTCGATATATCGTTTTTCACTGTGCGCGTGAATGTATCTAGTGACTTTCTATAGTAGGAATTGAGGAAATGTGATTTCTTATATCATTTTTTTATTTTTTTTCTGATACCTGTGTCTGCTTTTTGTGTTTTTCTCTAAGATCATCTCCTAATAAACCTTGTTTTTTAGAAATTATGGTGTGAATACACCTACTAGTAATACCTAAAGTCGAATTAAAAAAAAAAAACTTTGCACTCTTACTTTTATACCTTGTTTAACAAAATAAAAAGCATTGTTATTGGTTCGTTTACCACTCTTTGCTACATTAACCTGTTCCATCAATGCCATTATGTAGTTTCGCTGATTGGAAATGTCTCCCAAATCCCAGTATAACGCGAGTCTCTCTTCTTCTGTGATTAAGCTCAACGCCCTCCCGGTTGAAGAAGTCTTTAAAATATTTTTTCTTTTGCTCTTATGTAGGACATGGTCTAAATCGAGGGACTTTTTTGTTACATTATTTGTTCATATTGCGACACCGTATGATTTGAGGGACAATTTTTTGCCAAGGAATAGCCTTCTGTTAGAGACTATACTTGTTGATAGTAGCATTGTTTAAAAGATAGTTTAAGATTTTAAACAATGATAGTAGTCTCCGTGAAAATAAAAGCCATTATAAAAGAAAAATAGATAAAAATTAACATTGAGCAACTTACGCATTTTTTTCCGACGGATCAGAATTGGCAGCACCACGTCGGAGGAATTCCTCATTGACACCGGGCTTAAACAAGAAGATCCTCTCGCTCCCCTGCTATTTAATTTTGCACTGGAACATGCGGTAAGGAAAGCTCAACCACAACTGACAAACGGATTTGCCGCCCAAGGATCAAAAATACTATTGGCGTTTGCGGATGACGTGGACACAATTGCACAATCCACCAGAGATGTAAAAGAAGTTTTCATTCTATTCGAAAACGGAGCCAAGGAAGTTGGTCTGAAGGTCAACGAGGACAAGACCAAGTACGTGGTAGTTACGAAGAACCCAAGGCCAAGGGTTAGACAAATCGTAACAATCAATGAATACAACTTTGAAGACGTCAAAGAATTCAAGTACCTGGGAGCGATCATAACATCTGAAAATAAATATGAAAAGGACGTGGCAGCCAGGATCATTGCAGAAAACATTGCATATTACTCATTAATGACCGTACGTAAATCTAAAATACTCTCAATACCAACAGAAATAAGAGTGTATAAGACAATAATTCGTCCCATAATAACGTATAGAAGCGAGACATGGACTCTGAACCAGCGGGAAACGACAAAATTACTGGTACTGGAAAGAAAGATACTGCGGACTATCTATGGGCCTTGCAGAGAAGAGACAACAGGAGAATGGAGAAGAAGACACAATGATGAACTCCAAGAGATTAAAACATAGTACGCTACTTAAAGCAAACCGAATAAGATGGGAGGGCCACGTGCTAAGATCGAGTGACGAAAGACTCCTGAACGCCACATTATGGGAAAGGCCCGATAGCAGAAGGTTAGTTGGTCGCCGAAGAAAGAGATGGAAGGACGCAGTTGCCAGTGATCTACGCAAAATTGGAATACAGCAATAGGAAATAACTGCTCAGGACCTACAACAATGGAGGGAAATAGTAAACGCGGTCAAGACTCACATAAAGTTGTAGAGCCAAATGATGATGATGAAGAACCAACGCTTTGTACATTAATTAAGAATTGAAGTAGAATCCATTGATATAAATTGCTGGTTCGTAGACCTCGTATCCTTATATTGTATTAGTAGTAAATTTTAAAATTTAGGCATGATAAACAATAAATTTAAGTTCTAACAAACTAGTCATAAAAACAAATTTATTGAAATTTAAAAGGTCATTTGAGAAAGTTGCGTTGTCAGCGAAACTGTTGTCGTTAGTTTATTGATTACAGTTTAGGTAATTTAAGACGTTCTGACAGTATTTTTTGAACAAAATATCTAACAGTAGTATATTTACAGGCCTTTAGAAGAAGACGTGTCGAAATGGGTATTCTGGGTGAAAGCTTTGGACAAGGACGGTGGATACGTTCAAGAAAAGCTAAATATTCAAGTTCAACAACACAAACTGGACCTTGTCGTCAACCACGAGTTTAGTTTAATCATTGGAATTGAAAGACATCAAGAATTTCAGCACTACGTTGACTGGTCACTAAAAGTACTTAGAGCATTAGGAAAAATATACAATACAAATATGGCGGAAATAACTGTCAGAAGAATTAATTATACCATTCAGCCAGTGGTGTTTACTTGGTCAAATGATTCAATAGCTACTAACTACTGTCCAAGAAGTGAGATAGAATCGCTATTTCAAGTAAGTAAATATTTTGACTGCTTATGCTTGACTTATTTTTGATAATAATTGAAAATTGGGAAGGTATTAATTGACCTTGGATCTTTCTATAAAACTATTTTCTCGTATTTTTAATATGAAAATGCCCATTTAACTTAAAAATGTCATTTATATAGGTAAATAGTCTAGTTGGATTGCCTTCTTTGTTGTAATACATCACTGCCTTTAAGGCGCGTACACATCTGGCGAACAAATGTGACCGAAGCCCTTTGACCGAATTCATTCGATGTTTTTGACGTTCGATGGAAAATTTAGTCTTTTGTCCACATTACAGAACGAATTAGTTTGCAGTCATTCGTTCAGTTTTGCGGGTATTTTTGGGGATTCGTGGTGCGGCAGTTATGTAAATTATAAAAATGATATCGGATGAGGATATAGTTATTGCAATTGCGTTATATATTATTATTTGTGAGGTGGAGACGGAAGAAGTGAAAGACCTCCCAAAAAACGACGAAAACGGCGCTGATCAACAACATCATTGTTCAAATACAGAAGTCGGTATAGAGGGATAGACTTATTATTTAATGATCTAAAAGCTGAAATGGAATACAGGCTTTTTCAAAATTTTTGAAGAATGAAGTTTACTGATTTGGAATGGTTATTAAATGAAGTTGGTCCAAAAATTGCGAAAGAAAATACAACGTTTAGAGAAGCGATACCGCCAACAGAAAGGTTAATGTTAACCCTACGATTTTTAGCTACTGGTGACTCATATACAAGTTGTATATACTGGATTCATATACTGGATCAAATGAATTTAAAGTCACTAAAGGCCTAAAGCAAGGATGCTGTTTGTCACCGACACTCTTTAAAATATACGTCCAAGAAGCATTGAGGAATTGGAGAAATAAATGTAGATTTATGGGCATCGAAGTGGGACAAGAAACTCTGTATACATTGTTGTTTGCAGATGATCAGGTGGTGGTTGCAACCGATGAGGAAGATATAAATTATATGAATCGAAAATTATTTGAGGAATATGCCAAATGGGGGCTTACTGTAAACATAAGCAAAACAGAATATTTAAAAATTGGAGGAAATACCACAGATCTGAGGCTTGAAAACGCAGTCATAAAAGGCTGCAACCAGTATAAATATCTAGGAAGCATCATATCAGCAGATGGCAGAGTTAAGATAGATGTACAAAACCGAATAACCCAAGGGAAAAAATGCATCCGAATACTGAATTCATTACTGTGGTCTAATAAAATAAAGATGCATACCAAACTTCGCGTATACAGAGCAATTGTAGAACCAATTACCACATATGGTGCCGAATGTTGGACGATGACAAAGAATGAACGAGATAAAGTAGACGTTGTGGAAATGGATTATCTTAGAAGGTCATGTCGAGTATCGAGAATGGAAAGAATCAGGAATGAGGAAATACGAAACCGTACAGGAATTAGAGATACTCTTTCAGATAGAATACAAGGAAGGCAATTACAATGGTATGGTCACGTGATGAGAATGGAGGAGGAGCGGTGGCCAAAGAAAGCCTTAATGTATGTTCCGCCAGAAAGAAGGAAAAGGGGAAGACCACCAAATTCCTGGAGAAGAGAAATTACAAAAACAATGCAATCTAGAGGCTTAGAAGAGGGAGATTGGAGAGATAGGAAAAGATGGAGGCTGAAATGCGGGAAGCGGCAATCGCCGTAGGACCCCCGTTATATGATGATGATATACTGGATTCCATAGAACTTTCCGCCCTCGATATAATCCAATAAGTTTTAAACACGAAGAATTAGTCCACTTTAGTATTGCAAATTAGAAAATCAAAATATAATCACGACGATGTTTGAGACTTTCACTTAGAAGCATACATACTTAACACAGCCAAAAGAATTTCTTTTACAATTTTCTTTTGATGTACCGCCCATTAAGCGAACTCTCGCCAAGGCAAACACATGCGCTTACTATCGTTTGTTGGGGCGTACACATTTATAGAAGGCGTTTGGTTGCAAGGCTTCTGCCACATGAGTTCGCCAAATCTGTACGCGCTTTAACGTTCTGCTAAAGAATTATATGAAATTATTATGAGAATGATAGAAATAACGAAAGAACTATTAACAACATAAGATGTGCTATGACACCGTGATTATGGAACGTTGTGCTGAACAACTACAACTATTACTAAACAAGACAAACAGTTACTGTGGAAAATATGGACTAAAAATGGATATTAAAAAGACTAAATACATGATAATAACGAAGAAAGGGCCAGGATAGAAATAGCAATAAATACGTTTATAAAATTAAAATTAATTCTCTGAAACAAAGACCTTAGATTAGAACTGAGAGTAAGAGCTCTGAGATGTTACGTGTTTTCAATACTACAATATGGAATTGAAAGCTGGAAACTGAAGCAAGAACACATAAATAAGCTACAGTCATTTGAAATGTGGTGTTACAGAAGGATGCTTAGCATAGCATGGACATAGAAGAAAATAAACACGGAAGAATTGCGAGAAGTAGGTAAAGAATACGAAATAATAAATATAATTAAAATAAAAAACTTACAATATCTGGGACACGTAATGAGGAGACAGAGATATGAAGATCGATAATACAGGGAAAGATAAGACTTGAAGGAGTACGATATGAGGAGTACAGGAAGAGGGAGAGTGTCATGATTGAGAAATTTTAGGGACTGGTTTAGATACAGTTCAATAGAACTCTTTAGAGCAGCAGTAGATAGAGTAAATATAGTAATGATGATATCCAACCTCCGATTGGGAGACGGCACTAAAAGAAGAAGAGTATAAGAATATGGAAACAACGGAAAATACCTAGGGAATGGAATGGAAGCGTAATAGTACTCACACTTAAGAGAGACAATAAAGAACAATTTCGAAACTGTAAGAGACTCATACCTTATGTGAAAGATATGGTAGACGAGTACTAATGCAGTTTTCTTGCTGGATGGACTAGAAAAAAACTGGGAATTCAACCTGGATGGGCAGAAAATTTTTGTAGGTTTCGTTGGTAGATTGCAGGCTATGGCTAGCAATACTAGAAATAGGAATACTAAGAAAATTAGTGGCGCTAAAAAACACAAATGTGCATGACAAATTCATATGCATAGGTAAAGATAGAAAACAGAACATTTAATATAACATCAGGACTCAGAGAACAAGACCAGTTGTCACCGTTGCTGTTGACTGAATTGGTGAATCTGTGGTGTAGTGAAAATTTAATCAGACAAAAGCTAACCGGATAAGGTGAGAAGGTCATTTGGTAAGATCAGAAGACAACAAGTTATTAAAACATTATTTTTTGAGACTAGATTCCAAAAGATCAGTATACCGTCCCAGGAGAAGATGGAAGAATGATGTCGAAGCATATTTGTCTAGGATTGGGGTACAAAGATGGGAGAAATAGAAGCACAAGATCGTAGAAGATGGAGGGCGATAGTGAATACGGCTAAGGCTCACCATGAGCTGTGAAACCAGACAAGAAGAACGTTGTAACTCCAAGTTGTAAGACTGATAATAAGATTTCAAGCTTAATCTACTTTTACTCACTGCTTGTTGAGAAGTGTCACTGTTACGCTTTCGGTATTATTGGTATTTCAGCATCACAAAATGAGTCCTTATGTTTTCGGCGTGACTGACTATAATATCAAAATTTCGGTAATCTTCAGTCGTTTTCAAGCTCCCCTAAATATTAAGCTATTTTATAAAAATTACTTATGTTTTTGTCAGCATGTACACACAAAAATAGTTATTTCGGACCAAATCGGTAGAAGGAGCTGGCCACTGATTTGTTTCGTTTAATGCGTAGTTTTTCTGTACCAATTACTCCGTATCAAAGAAAAAAAAATGGTCTATATATAAATTGTTTGCAGAAAAATTTGGTCCTGATCAAATATATCTCTTATGTTTTCAAAAAATAAAATCTGCACGTAATTTGAATTGCCTTAGCAGATTAGGTTAAGTCGAGTAGACGTGATCAGGTCAATATCTTCAATAACTATGTGTTTTAACACCTTTCGATCCGCTCTTGATGTATTTATATATAAATACTGAAACATATAAAATATAGACGATTAGTAATTATGATTTTATACTGAAATTAAAGCTTTGTATTGATTTAAGATTAATGTTTTTAGGTTTTAACGGCAAACAAAATAGGTGATCCCTCTAGAGAGCTCAATATGGCTTTGTCACCGGAATTGCGAGTCAAGAAAGTAATTTCTCGCGAACTAGGCGTTTGTGAACAACCGCTCACGCCAGTCACTCCTCCAATGAATTTCTCACCGATTTTACGAAATCCAGTCGACAAAGTTAATGCCACCGTTGGAGAGTTACTGGTTTACAAAGTAAAAGATGTAAGTATTTTTTATACTTAAATTATATTATAGTAGGTACGTGTAGAATTTTCAACGTGTTTAAAGAATACAACATTTTTGAATAACATTGTAATCAATGCTATCAACAAGTCCTCGTAGACACTTATATTATTTATCTATGGTAGACACCATGATACTATGACTAACAAGATAGGATCTTCCCGTAGCACAAAATCGGTCGTGTTCGCGCATGCCGTCATTGGAGAGTAGAAGTTGAATTGTTGTTAAAGTTAAATGGGATTTGTATGCATTCTGTGATGAAATTACTAGATGAAAATAAGTTAAGAGGTTAATTAATTACAATAATCGTACACATAAGGATATCTCCAAACCATTAATAAAGATTATTTATTGATACATACAAAAAACTGACATTTCGAACGTGCAACTCTCCAGTGACGTCACGACTTATGCGCAATATCTTATCTTCTTAGTCACAGTATCATGGTAGACACTTTGTCTCAGAACTAGCAACCTCCAGTAGAGTCTTACGTTGCCATGTTTTCAATTCCTGTTGTAACTTAAACATCCTAGTATATAATGTCAAATAATGTAACTTAAATTCAATTTAACAACATTTAACGGGTTTTTACCCAAGTATTTAGTGGCTCAAAAAATATACATCTAGTAAGTATTAACCACATTTTGAATTAACCTTGATTACGTGATTAATTTGAAATTAAAGTGGTTATATACTTTAAGGATAACACTAATGATGGAATATTCCGAAAACGTTATGTGATGTAGCCCAATAGGATGTTTTGATTATATACCTTTGTAAAGGAGTTTTAAATAAATATACTTATCCTGTTTTCGATTACGATCTTGTCAATAGCTTGATCTCTTTTGACAGGTTTGTTTGGTATATACTGTTTCTCTGCTAAAACAGAATATACTTACCCATTGAATACCTTTGACCTGCCTTTGAATTTGGCCACTGTCTCGTCCGTACTTTGCACAGCGCTGTCAGCATGCGCAGAACTAAATGGTTTTTTTTAACAAGCCAAGAAATATTTTAAATACTAAATTTTTAATACGCCGTCAGAATTTTGACGAGCATGATAGACGCGTGCTACGTGCTACTTGCCACGCCACTTTGGTGGGCGCTCGCCCTAAGAGAGATAGGAGAGGTACTTAATCGCGGGTGTCACAAATGCGTAGTTGCCGTATCAAAAATTTAGTTGGGATCTGAAAATTACATTAATAGATATGTTCCGTGGTTGTGTCATTGCGTGTGTTATAAACTTGTTTACCACGAAAACAAAATAAAAATAATAATAATATTGAATAAAACGTAGAAAAAATTTGTTAATAATATTTATTTTCATAAAACGTAATTAATTCTCAAATGGAAGGTATTTTTGTATGTATCGCGGACTGATGCAACTTGTGTCTCTTAATGATTACTAAACTAAACACAACACAGAACACACGTTCTTTGTTTATTTTTCTAAGCCAGACGGTAAACTCAAGTATTATCGGCCTTTTATCTTGTGATGTTATTGCTTACAATATCATATTTCGTTTCCCATTTATGAAAAATGCAACGTATTTAAATGTATAATTAAAGTGTCCAGCATATCTGTAGTAAATAAACATATTGGAAAAACGCATTTCAATTTTTATGTCATTTCTATTTCACATGTGTATAACCAATTGCGATAATGTAAATTTTAACATGAAGAACTGTTATTTAATTTTTGAAATAATTAGCTTGTCGCTACAGATATACGTTGTATTATCAATAATAGTAAACTGTAAAGTACTAATTAACTGATCCATTGTTTACTTATTATTTACTGGTATTTTTTTGTTCTGTAAGTTTTTATTTATTTATTGATTATAATTTTATTGATTGTAACTTAAATTAAATTATTTAAATCTGAATTTATTTTCAAAATGAGTATTATAATTACCAGTTAATTGAGCTACACGTTCTTGTATCTTTTTTAAATCAACTAAGACTTTATCTGCATTAGCTTCTTCGGTTGTAAACTTAAAAACATTGAAAATTATTTCTCGTGCTTGAGATCCCAAAGGTTTGCCTTTTAATACACTTGCCATTTTAATAAATATAAATAATAGTTTATAATATAGGGCCACTCCAAATAAAAATGTAAATACTTGACAACACTGTCAGAAATCTAGCACTAATTACACGATGTGAACTCCTAGCCGACTGCAATAGAAATGAGCAATCCCTTCCACTTTTCAATTTGTTCTACGCGCAACCCGCCAGCTCTCGCTTGTCGGATAATACAACAATTTGAGGTCTTCAGCGAATATTTTTCTACATATTATTTTTATTTAAACTACGTAATGGATTATTTTACAATGCGCATAATAATTACAATGTGTCTGCGCTAAATTACAATGCTGACTTTTCTATGTATTTACATAAAATAATTTATATAGGTATTTAGCTCTATATCATATTTAATTTATTTTAGGATACTTTCTACGACCCAGAAGACGTTGACCCAAGAATGTTAAACATATCACTCCTCACCGGTGACCGTCAACCGATTCCACCAGATAATTGGTTACAGTTCGACAATAAAAACAGAGAATTCTTTGGCATTCCGAGAAAATCAGGAAGAAGCGAATATCAGCTTGTTTGTGTTGACAGTGGTGGGCTACCTGCAACTGATAGCTTAGAAGTTGTGGTATATCCACCTACGAAGAAAAACTTCAATGTTGAATTCAGTATGAATATCACAGAAATACCGCATGAAATATTTATTAATACTGCGTCTTTGCAAAAGAAATTTGTTGAGAAACTCATGGTAAGGCTTTAATATATTTATACCATTTCCCAAATATTAGATTAATTATATTTTGTAATACAGTAAGGTCTTATTTTATGCGAATTATTTTTATGCGATTTTAAAGTTGTGCTGTTTATATTTCATCCAAAAATTTCTATTATTAATAGATAGTAAAAGGATTATAATAGAATTTCATTAATAGAAAATAAAATAGGATGTTGAAACCACTCTAAAATAAGAAAAAGCAGTTAATGTTAAAAAATTGATAAAAAACATTATGATTTAAACTTCTTGAAGAATTAAGCTATTTGAAACACGTTTAAGAACAAGACAGCTTAGGAAAACATCCACCTGCAGACGAAGTTCATAAATAATTAGTTTACTTTCAACAACAATACTATTAAAATAAACAAGTTTTCCTATCCAAGTCCCTATCCAATAGACTTTTCCCTGATATTCGTCGGAGTATTTTCATCTCTGTTGTTTCTAGTAGTCGTCTCGTTTTAGATGTGTCAGGTCTTGTCTCCGCCGTGTATGTTAATATAGGTCTAATTTCTGATTGATAGATTCTTGTTTTTGTGTCTTGTCTTAGGTATTTGTTCTTCCAGATTGTGTCATTAAGAGAATCCCGCCACTTAACTTGCTTTTTAACTTTGTTGTCGTACTTCTTGCTCAACATCTCTGTAACTAGTTATATCTACTCCCAGAAATCTAACGCTTGCTTTATTATTTTTCCATCAATTTCGATTTTACATGGTAGTGGGTATTTAGAAGTTGTCATACATTTGGTTTTTTCTGCTGATATTATCATATTGTATTTCTTAGCTGTTGTATTGAAGATATGTACGAATCTTTGGAACTCGTCTTCTGTCTCGGCGATTAATTCGGCGTCGTCTGCATAACATAATATTTGGATTTCTTTGTTCCCCATTCTGTAGCCATGACCTTTACGTACTGCTTGTATTATTTCGTCCATTATTATATTAAAGAGAAGTGAGCTTAACGAGTCACCTGTCTGACCCTGCCTTGTACTGGTATACACTGTGTTAATTTTCTATTTATCTTTACCTGTATTCGATTATGGAGGTAGATGTTTTCGATGGTTTGTATAATATTGATTGGTATGTTTCTTTTATACAGTAGGTGTAAGACATCTTCGACTTGGATGCGATCAAAAGCCTCTGTCAGGTCTATAAAACATAGATATGCTGGTTTGTTGTACTCGATGGCTTTTTCTGCGATTTGGCTTAGTACAATCCGGATATGAATACTTGTTCATCTGATAAAGTTGTTAGTTTCTTGATTTTGTTGGGTAGGACTTTTGTGGTAAGCTTAAGTGCGGTGTTCAGTAGATTTATACCTCTATAATTGGGTAGGGTCTTATCTCCTTTCTTGAACATTGGTATCATTATGCTGTTTCTCCATGCGTCTGGTATCTTGCAGTGCAATATTAGTTTTTGTCATCGCTAGGGCTATACTCTCTCTTCCCTGTTTTAGAAGCTTGTTGTTATTCCGTCTAGTCCTGGTGACTTTCTATTTTTGAGTGAATTTATGGCTATTTCTACTTCCTGAAAACTGATTTCTATTTCGTGTCTTAATTCAGGTACGTTATTGTGTTGATTATTATTTTCCTTTGCTTTAAACAGTTCCGTCAGGTATCTTTCCCATTCGTTTGCTGGTATGTTATTGTATTCCTTCAATTCTGCCATTTCTTTCCGTTGGTTTCTTATAAATCTCCATATTTGTTTTTGTGTACCGTAGAAGTCTCTTTCCATCCTTTTTGTAAACTGTTCCAGGTATTCATTTTTTGTTCTTCTTACCAACTGCTTTGGTTCGTTTCGTATTCTTCTATAGTTGTCTCGGGATTGTGGGGTATTTGATGTTTTGTACTTCGTATAGGCCTCTCGTTTCTCTTTACATTTCTCTTTTATTTCTTTTCTGAACCATGGTATATTGTTGTTGTTTCTTTTGTTCAGTATGACTTTGCGTTTTCCTAGAGCTTCTGTTGAGCCTCTTCAATGTTGTTTTTAATTTTCTCCCAGCTCGCGTTTACATCTTCGATGTCGTCTATTTGTTTCAGCTGTATCTTCTGTGCTAGCCTTCTTTAACATTTCTCTTGTATTAATTTTCATTCTTATCTTTGCTAATACTAGTTTATGTTCACTACGCTAGTACACTCCCTGCGTCTGCTGAGTTTAAAGTTCGGATATCTAGAATTTGCTTTAGGTGGATTTTTCTATTAGTGACTATAAAATCAATCATAGATTTATGCCCCCTGGAGTTTACAAATGTATATTTATACTGGAGCTTATGGTCGAAAAATGTATTATTGATTCTCAGTTCGTTCAAAAGCACAGAGATTAGAGTTCTCCATTTGCGTTGACATGGTTTTCAATAAATCTTTGTTTTACTCCTGGAACTATTTTATTTCCGATTCGTGCATTAAAGTCACCCATAAGAATTAAGGTCTCTTCATGAAGTATTTCATCCAGGATGGTTTGCAATTGTTCGTAGAATGCCTCTCGTTACTCTTTAGGTTTGCAGTCCTCGGGGCTATAAATAAATATGACATTTAATTTTTGGTAGTCCATTGTGATATTCATATGTATTATTCTTTCGGATATATAACAGCAGTTATTTATGTTGTGTTTAAATTTTTTATGGACAAGTATTTTACGCCTGCTTGTGCTCGTTCTTCTACTCCACTGTATGCTAGGAAATATTGGTTACATTCTCTTTGGCCTTTACCTTTTTTCTTGTTTTTTTGGATTACACAAATGTCTATGTTTTTATTTATCAGTTCTTCTAATATCTCTTGGTCGTTGTTGTTGAAAGAAGTAATTTTCGATGGCTCTGTAACTTGGCCCATCAACCCTCCTCTTTTATCCGGACTTGGGACCGGCTACGAGCATGAACCCGGCTTTTGAGCTACTTAATCCACCCAGTCATCGCGCTCGTAATCCCCAGGCAGAGATATGAGTAAATGTAGTCACGATATGAATAAATATAGTCACAATAACGAATAGAAATATGAACCAGTTTTGTCCTGGAATAATAGCTAAATCTACTTTACTAGTAAAACAAGAAAATGCAGTTGATGTTAGAAAATTGAAAGAAAAACATTACGATTTAAACTAGAAGAATATTAAAGAATTAAGCTATTTTAAACACGTTTCAGAACGAGACAAATTTGAAAAACATCCACCTGCAGACGAAGCTTATATATAATTAGTTTACATCTTTTGTCCATCGTGTAACGACTATTTTGCTTACCACAGGGTAAGAATATGGGGGGACAAGATTGGGCAAACAAAATAATCGAAACAAGTGCATACGGCACTCAGTTGGTTGTTGGAGAGCTGGGTCGTGGATAAGTTGAAGATATTGGGGGTTGGATTGGGGCAACTACAAAAAAAAAAGAAATAAAGGGGTACTTATACAAATCTCTTGGGACAAACAGAATGAAAATAAACGGAAACACCTTAAGAAATTTAATATAGGGCGCCACTTGAGGTGCCTAATTATACCTATGGTTTCAAACAACATGGGACAACATGGACACTAACAAACAACATAAACCGTACATACAGGGAAAGACAAAATACTAATAATATTGAAAACTTGACCTTTGAGTGAGCTACACTAAATAACACCAAAATAAACCAACTCTTGTTCCGAAAACTAAATGAGACTGCTCCTAGTCAAAACTAAAACAGCATCTCCTGATCACAAATATTACACCTGTGGTCATTCAGATACAAGAAAGGATACACAATAAACAAACAGTCTACTACTGAGACTAAACTTGTCGAATCTTCTCTACGACTCACAATGACTACTCCTCGTACAACAACATTAATTAACCCTTGGCATTTAAATACACCTTCAGAGACGGTTAATTAGAAGACAAATTGCATAACACTACTTCTCAACTACACAGCTCAAACAAAGTCATTCAAACGAATACAAACATTTACTCAAAATGACCGAACAAATAAAAAATTACAAAAACCGATTATTCTGTATGATTTGTCAAATCAATTAAAAAAATAAATGTAACAGTAACTGCATAATTTGCTACTGTTTCTAAATTCAAGATCAATACTTGAATCAAAATTCATATTTAAATATTCAACTCAAATATTTGCTTTCATTTACCATTACATATAAAAAACAATACATATGTTAATATACACAAATATAAATGTTGGTACATAATACATACAGATAATACAAATACTCTACTGTTTGTGAGACACTTTGGACCACTATTCAAAAGGAACCAAGTTTCATATAAATGGTTTGGGAAAAAAGGAATTAAAATCTAAAAGAATTTAGGAATATTCAAAGGCCTCGCACGTTGGGAGCCAAAATTATAACGATAGGTACAATTGGCGCAAATCTAAGACAAGCCACACACGTTGGGCGCTAAAATTGTAACGCAAGATACAATTAGCGCCAATCTAATTCGGGCCCCACGTTGGGCGCCAAAATTGGGCGCATAAATCTTTATTTTTACCTGATAATGTAACAAAGAGTTCGATATTTGAATCTAAACACAGACAAAAACATCTATATTTACTTTTGAATCGGTAAAAATATACGCATTATTGATTATTCTAACCGGAATATTAGGGGGACTTCATGTAACATAATACCTCTTTGGCGAAAAAAAACTTGTTGTTTCACCTAACATTGCAACACAGAGATAAAAACATATGTCCAGCGTTAATAGGCATTTAAAAATCTCGTCAAAAAAAAACGAAATATGAAATATTTTTTCGATTGTTTTCTTGGTAAAAACAACAGGAACGTACTACAAAAATCTTTTATATACAAATTAAATAAAAAAAACGCTACAATCGATAGAACCTAATTAGGACGCTTTTTCCTATGCTGCTCAATATATGAAATAAACACAGCAATATTATGAAGAGTGATGATGGATTCACCGACTGAAAATTTTAAGTTTTGTAACTGGCTATGTTCGTGTACTGTATCTTAAGTGTTTTTCGAATTATCTAAATTTAATTTAAATTAAAAATTATAATTTTCGTTTAAACTTTCACTCCACTTTGAATCTTTAACATATACTTTTTCCAAAATTTTCATCATAAATATGTATGTATTAGATTTTTTGGGGTTATAAATATATATAGAATTTTTATACAGGTAAGGAATGCTAATAACCATCTGTAACCAAATATTTTATTATTTTTAGATTTTGTTCGAAGAACCAACAACAAACAACTTTTATTTTCTTCCATTTAAAAGATCATACGATTCCACAATTGTGACTTGGTTCAACAAATCACTACCACTAAACAGATGTCCTCACGAAGAAATCAAACGAGTAGAATCTATTTTACACAACATGATAGATAAATCAATTGCTCATAAGGTTAGTATGAACATGATCTCGCATATGAAATTACAGATGGTGGAGGTATTCCAATCTTCATATTTGTTTTTGCACATATTGCTTCAGTCGTCAGAGAAGAAAATGCCACTGAACCTCTAAAAATCATACTATAATAACAAGCTTAATTTTGCTTAGAATGTCAATTTTGAGACTCCAAAAAAAGTGCAAAAATGTGTACGACTTTTACCTTCAGGCTTTTTCCTAAAACCGCCCTCGTAGGTCGGGGGAGAGAGACGTAAAAAATCTATTAACCAAGAATTTATTCGACGTAGAACAAATGTTTCAAATAAAAAAATATAGCTGAGATTATTTTGAACATAAATGTTTATTAGCTCTTTTTATGTAAAATAAACCGTTCTCTCAGAAACAACGCTTGAAGTGGTCATTTTTAGTGTCATGTAGGCATGCGAAATAAATTTTAAATAAAATTTGTATCCACTCTACTGTAAAAATTCGATATCTTTTGATCAAAGTGTCCTTTCGACAAAAATTAAAAATGCGTGGTAAGTGAAGAGAGCAGCTTTTGTATGCAATTTTCGAATTCTGCCGTGAATAAAGTCAGTTTCTATAAAGGTGTTTAATAAATAAACGTTTAGCGATAAAACGGTATAACCGTTTTTAAGATTCTCATGAGATCAATAAAATTAATCACTTGCATTAAACAGTCACTACGGAATTTTCGTTATTAGAGCCTAATCTTCACAATATGGAGCTCAAATTTTCGGTTTTAAGTTAAAGTAACAAATATGAGGTATTTTGACATACGTCTAGAAAAGGCTGAATTTAAACTTTCACATTATAAACGATCCTAAACGTTTAAAACTGCCTCTTTTTGATTACACAAGTTAGTTTTTCGAAACGACACAATTTCAGCTACAAATTCCAGCATTTCCCGTGACATGCGATTGTTTGTGATGTGAATGTTTAACTTCAGAATTTTTTGGGCATATTTCAAATTACGAGAGTTTTGGCGCACCCTGTTTATTAATTACAAAAGTAAAATGACTACCGATCTAAGTACTCTAATTTTTATATCATTTATGCTCCTTTTAGGTTTCATATTATAAGGTGCCGAATTTGGCGAAGAGTGTGAATTCTTACCTTTGTCAATCTCTTCGTTACTTCCAACTATTTGTTATTCAAAATAATAATAATGGGAGACTTTAAACGAAAAAATTGAAAGTAAGATTGAAGACTCTGAAAGCAAGATTGGAAATTTTGGATTCGGCACAAGAAACACAAGAGGAGAAAAACTCATGGAATTCCTGGAACAAGAAAACATGTATGTTATGAATATCTTCTACAAAAAGAAACCTAACAGAAAGTGGACATGGATCGCACCTAATGGAACTACCAAACATGAAATAGACTATTTTTCCTCAAACAACAAAGGAGTATTTGAAGACGTCACAACAACAAACAACGTAACAACGGGTAGTGACAATCGTATAGTTAGAGCAAAAATAAATAATAACATGAAAGAAGAGAAAAAAAGGATTTAAAAAAAAACAACGAGGATAGACGCCTGTAAACTAAGAACAAATGAAGAGCAATTCCGAGAGGTCTTAGCGGATAAGTTCGAATCTGATCCTTCACATAATCAAGATCAAATTGACGAGATTAATAAAAACATAAATAAAAACCTTCTCGCAGCCGGACTACAGGTCGCAAAGAAAACAAGGACTAAAGAAGACAAAATAAGCAATGAAACTAAACAACTAATGACGGAAAGAAGACAACTACTAGCGCAAAACAAACGCTATACTCAAGAATACAGAGAACTTAATAAAACAATTAGAAAAGAACTAAAACGCGACATACAAAAATGGAACGAGAACTTAATAGCGCGAGTCATTGAAAACAACAGAGGCTTAAAATGTCTAAGACCCGCACTGGGAATTGAAAAAATCATCAAAATTAAAGACGCCAACAATAAGGAAGAGAAGGACAAATATAAAATAACAAATATTGTCGAAGACTTCTACACATCCTTGTACAGCTCGCAAAGCCAGCCTAATAAAACAACAAAGGAGAACGTCAAAAGAAAAATAAAAAACGTGAGATCAGAAGTACTACCAAATATAAAGGGATTCGAAATAGAAAGAGCTTTAAAAGAACTAAAAAATAATAAAGCTCCATGACACGACGGTATAATTGCCGAGCTCTTGAAAACAAGCAAGATATTAACAATCCCTGTACTAACAGAGCTATTTAATAGATGTCTCCATAATAACAAGTTCCCTAAAGACTGTAACGAGAGTCCAGTAATACTCTTATACAAAAAAGGGACAAATGTGATCTACAGAATTATAGACCTATATCGTTGCTCAGTCAAGTATACAAACTATTTATGAGAATTACTAACAACCGGTTGACCTACAAAATGGATAATTACCAACCAGTTGAACAGGCTGACTTCCGCAAAGGATATAGTACATCAGACCATCTGCTGACAATGAGAACATTGATAGAGAAGGCAAATGAATACCAGCTACCAGTATTTCTTGCCTTCGTCGACTATGAAAAGGCGTTTGATAGTATCGAGATGTGGGCCATAGAACAAGCTATTAATAATTGTAGAATATATTCGAGATATAGGCAACTAATACATAATATATATGAAAATGCAACTATGATAGTACAACTAGACGAAAATACAAATCCCATCCCCATTAAGAGAGGAGTGAGACAAGGAGACGTAATATCGCCAAAGCTTTTCAACCTAGCCTTAGAAGACGTCTTCAAAATTACAAATTGGTCAACATATGGCATTAACGTTAATGGCAACAAGTTAAACTACCTCGGATTCGCTGACGACATAGTGATTATAGCGAGAACATTCGGTGAAATGTAAATTATGATGGGGGAACTAACAGGCAGCTCCCAATACGTCAGCCTAAAAATCAATATGAAAAAAAAAACAAAAATAATGACAAACACAGATGAACCCAGGCGGATAACTATAAATGGCAGTGAGATAGAACAAGTCCAAGAATATATCTACCTAGGCCAAATCCTGAAACTTGACAAAGAAAACCGAAGTGAGGAAATTATTAGAAGAGCAAGACTAGCATGGGCAGGATTTGGAAAACTTAGTTGGATACTTAAGAAACGCAAAATACCCCACAACAGAAAGAGCAATGGAAAGAGCAATGTTAGGTATACGACTGTCAGATAAAAAGAGGAACGACTGGGTAAGATCAAAAACAAAAGTCGAGGACACAACAACAAAAATTGCCAAACTTAAATGGAGCTTCGCGGGCCACACTGCTAGACAAAAAGACCAACGTTGAAATACTACAATACAACATTGGACACCTTACGATAGTAAAAGACCACAGATGAGATGGGTTGATGACATTAAAAGAATAGCCGGAACAAATTGGAAATATGTTGCTCATGATAAAGACAGATGGAAGGAGTTGGGAGATACCTATGTCCAAACGTAGACGATAGAAGGCTAAGAAGAAGAAGAAGAATTTCAAATCCCTCATATTTGTTACCAAATCTTAAAAATCGAAAGTTCATGTTTCATTCAGGTTTTAAAGACTAGGCTCCGGCAGTGAAAATTTCATATCTACCCGTCAATGGCAGAAATTGCGCAATGTGTTTTTATTTAACAGGTTTATAGAAACTGATTTCATTTGAGGCAAAATATGAAACTGTAAGAAAGCTGCACTTTTACCTTTAGTTTACAAGACGTTGAATGTAAAGATGTATCATTTTTAGGTAGATCAGTTGTGATAGTTTTGTTATTCTTTCGGGTATGTTTTTGATTTTTGTAGATGAGAATTTTAAAGAGAAAATATTGCTAATATGATTCTTTTTATAATTAAATAATTATAAAATTCTAGCGGATTAAAGTTTCTTTAGATGCTTTTTCTTTTTATTAGCTATTACATGTGTCGTGATATTCCCACATTTCTGTCTTTTTCAGATATCGATATGATATTCAAATATGATATTGTGGACTAGGGTATTTGTTTGACCGAGCGTATTGGTGGATTATCCTTCCCCACCTTTCTTGCATATTGTTGTTTTATTTTTCTGCACTTTTTTTTAACATCCTTTTCTTCTACATCTATTTCAAAATTCTTCTGTCATCTGATCTGACCCTTTTCTTTTTTCTTCCAATTTTCCCATTTATATTCTATAAGGCCATATCGTCCCTGGTATTCTCTCTATATGCCACAACCATATTAGAAGTTCATGATTTTCAAGTACTTGATTCCCTACCTTGGAAGAAAACCGCCATATGTCAAAATGTGTAAATTTTCAGACATGGCCATTTATTAGAACATTAATGAATTTAAAAATTTCATAAAACTTCACCCATAACCGCTAACAGCCTAATATTTTGGCTTTGATGTGTACTAACTAGCCTAAAAGTTATAGTCAATCCCATACGTCTGTAATCCTGTTTTTAGAGTCATAACATTTTTGAGTTATGACATTCTCGTTATCATTCTTTTAATGACTAATTTTAAATTATCCGTGTTTAAAATATTGATCTTAAGCTATCTTTATTAGAATTATGCCACTTTATAAATTAAAAAATACGTTTATAATTCTGAATGACCAACTTAAGACAAACGGTTCTCCCCTCCTCAACTTATTCAGAGAAGACTATATTGTGTAAACGCATACCAAAGATGTGGAAAAGGACAGAGCTATTTAACTTATCCTTCAACGCTTAATAAAATTTCGATGCTATTTATTTAATTTGCAAACTATTTTTTTTTGCTGCAGCATGTCGGTACCAGAGCCTTTCCGTCCATTTGCCAGTGCATATCGGTGCATTGGTCGTCTGTTTGTAACATGCTGAAACCACGGATTTGGGCTGAATCCTGAATTCCATTTCCGATTTATATTCTCATTAGTAGATGTCGCTCTAGCGTTTCAGAAAATATTTTGATGGATGGAAAAAGTTTTATTTCGTTAAAGCTTACCATGAGTTCTGCCAAGGGGTCCCACTCATCTGATTTTCGTCCTTTGATTTGTAAGAATGTCATTCCATCAGGGTACTTTACTGTTAAAATTTCTTATCATCTTCGGACAACTATCTTCAAACGTTGGAAATTGTTCGTGTCTAGGTCCAATGTATGTCTTATCGTCCCTTTAATCCTACCTAAACAATATTTCAGGTATTCTTCATATGCTTCTCAGTTTGTTTTACGAGTATTATGATAAGTTGCCTGCTATTTCTAAACATGGTGTGAACTAGACACCTCGCCTCATCTAAAACATGCAATTTTTCCATAACAAACTCTAGTAGTAACACCACTTTCATTTTTATTTGGACTGCCCCAGGTCAGATGGTACGCATTCGCATCACAGCCAATGATTTATTGCAGTCCATGTTTTCTGCAATATGGTAATTGTTCGGGATCATTATATGGGAAGTATGCTAATCCGAGAATTATCTCCTTTATACTTCTTCCCTCTATGATCCTCTTCTTTAGCCTCGTTAAATCTCTGAAATAGATATTCATCAACAAAAGTATTTTAATACCTCGTTTAACTATTGTGCAGGTCCTTAGGACTTCGACAGATCGGCTATATATAAGTTCTCTACCAATACTTGATAGACCTCTTCTTTTTCCTTTGTGAACCCAGAGCTGTTGTATGCAGGCTACATTCAACTTTCTCATGGCAACATTAAGTTCTGTCAAAGCTGCCTTACTATGCTGGAAATTCGATTATAGGATTTTGAATGGAGCCATCGATGCATCTGATTGTCTCAAAGGATACCTTTCCAAGTATATTATCATGTCCCTTGAAATGTAGAAATGATCTTTCGATTTCTTAACAACTTCTGTCTTCTGTGGTTAGTTCTTGACAATCTTTAGACGGATCCTGATGTTTTTTTATCAGCTTCGTTCTCGAAGACGCAGGTGAGGACCATGGAGCACTTGGATATATTATTGGGATCAACTATATTTAAGTTTGCTCCCTCCCACAGGCCGTCCGTAGCCCTCACCAGTAGTTTATTTTTATTGTTTACTCGTTAGCACAGTTCATCCACAGGGTCCTTTGCTAAACGATGTTTTATGGAACTGCAGAACTTTATTCTTACCTCCAATTGGAGCCTTATCTTCTCTTCCTTCGAGCCAACTTCTTGATCCAGTTTGTTGATTGTTGATGATCTGCTTGAGCCCGATTTAGTTGAGTATCAGGATGGTGTCTGTGCTACTGTCATTCTGAATACTTTTGTCACGTTGCTTTATGTCAGCTTGTTAGAGACCCTTGGTTTTTTAGCAACTCTGTTGCGAAGGCAGTGATGGTTTTCTTGGGATTTGCTATGATCCATGTCCCAGCAGCCATTTATGCCCCTTTCCTCAACTTTCTTTGTTGAGCTCTAGCGAGACGTTTTTTGAGACTTATTTATTTATTTTTTAAATTTTAAAATCCGAAATTATACTTTATAATTTCGAATTTTCAAATTGTAAAAAAGAATTCTTTGGTAACTCGACACGATTAATATTTTTAGTCGTTACTAGCCATTCTAGTTACAAGCGTATTGATACGCGTTGGGTGCAGTATTTTTATGCCCGCATCGCGAATTTCTCGGAGAGGGAAAAGTTATTCATTGATAAACGTTCAACTTTCTATTATGCAAGCATTCTTCCTCCGAATTAGTTTAGGATGTACTTCGTCGCAGAGACATTGGCACAAAAAAACATTTTCTTGTGTGATATTGGTTAAATAAATCGTGATAATCACTGAATCAATGCTAAGACTCCTTCATCGCTGGAAACAATTCTATGACTCGAGAAGAAATTACTTCCTTTTTGCAACTGGCGTCAAACTTATCATATATAGCTCTTACTGTATCTTAATGATCTAACGCAGCGGTGCCTAAATGGCCGATCGCGATCGACCGGTCGATCGCTACAGCTTATGAAGTCGATTGCGAAAGAATTCAGGCCATGGTTGAGAGAATTCAAAATTAATCAGGCCATGGTTGAAACATTCCAGACTTAGGCAATCGCGCAATTATGAAAGTTCTATAGAAAATAGCATTACTTAAAACGCAAAATAAGTGCCTCGAAAAAATTAAAATGTACCATTTTAATTGTGATTGGAAAGAAGAACTTTTGTACGTTATGTTTAAGGATAAGTGCGTTTGTCTCATTTGTCAATCTATACTAACATGGCCCAAATATGGTAATTTAGAAAGGTGTTATAACACTCTGCATAAAGTACTTTTCCTACTCTTCTCTTCTCTTCTACTCTTCTCTTCTACTCTTCTACTCTTCTCTTCTACTCTTCTCTTCTACTCTTCTCTTCTACTCTTCTCTTCTACTCTTCTCTTCTACTCTTCTCTTATCTTCTACACTTCTCTAGATTAGCCAAATAATCAGTACCTGCATCAATCGCGTCTTTTACAATTGCCTGCATAGTGGCGGAATACAAGAAACCTTTCGAAGACGAAACCGTAGTGAAAAAAGCATTTATTGAAGCGCCTAATGCGTTATTTGATAACTTTATGATGAGTTATCCCATAGATAAGAAGGTTAGGAGTTATCCCGTCCAACTGTAACCAGATCAATCGAGATCATCACCAAAGATTTAGAATCCCAACTGAAAAGTGATATTATGGAATCTATATAGTTTTAATGAGTCCATCGATATAGTTGATACTGCCAATTATGTATTTTCATCCGGATGGCATTTCTTTATATGCCGACTAAAGAAGAATTATTTTAAACATTGCTACCTCTAAAAGGAAAAACTCGAGAGGAAAATATTAACACAGACTTTCTAATTTCTGTAAAACAATATGAGCTACACAGTTACAAACTCGTGTGTATTACAACATTTGAAGCACTTTACATGAGTGGCAAACAAATGGATTTGTTGGATTGTGTCGAGCATCCAATCACTTCCCTTCATTTTCAAGTATTACAGATAATTTCAGATATATTCTATCTCAATGCTAGAGCATCTGATACCAAATTTTGTTTTTTTATATCCGAAAACAAATATTCATGTTTAAAACAAATAGCTCTTTAGTCAACAAAAATGTTCGGATCAACATACTTGTGCGAATCTGCATTTTCAGAAATAAAAATAGTTATATCAGAATATCGCAATCGGCTGGCCGACGAACATCTCAAGTTGTTTGTGGATGATATGCAGTGTCATGTATCAAAATCGAAAGGAAATCTGGTCTTTCCCAAAACACATTGCTAATCAGTCTGTCGTCATCACTCCGTACCACGTGGCCTGTCCATCTTAATCTATTGGCTTTTATATATCTTACGATGTTTCCTTTCCCGAAAAAAGTCTCTATTTCATTGTTGTATCTGCTTTGATTAATAGATCCCTTACCCTTAATTGTATTTTGTATTTATAAAATTATAATTTCGTCTTCCTAATATTTTGTGGTAGATCGCGAAGACTACAAGTCTGAGCACCGCCGATCTAACGGATATACTATGTTTAATTATTGTGTAACACAGTAATACTTATGTATGTATTTTCTAGGTACATTCTGTTATGGAACCAGAATTCAAAGTATCTACCATTAAAGTTTATCCAACGGGTAATTGCAAGCAAAGAGTTGTTCAAGTTGTTCAAGTTGGTCAAGAAGCTAAACCGGAAGTTAGTGTACCGATTGAGGAAAGTACACCCCAGTCCAGCAACGATGAATATCTTGTTACTTTTATTGTACCGGCAGTTATTGTTTTCGTAATGCTATTCTTGGCCGCTTTGGCTGCTGTTGTGTTATACAGACGACGAAGAATGGGAAAAATGAATGTTGAAGAAGACGGAAGACAAAGCTATGGAAACAAAGGTAAACAAATATTTTATTTAGGTTTATGTGTTAATTGTCATTACTTTATATTTAGTTATTTCTTTCTTTATCATCGAACTGGATGAGTAACAATTTTTTTTTTTTGTTTAATTTACTGTTTGTATTTTGAGAACGATTTCCGAAGTGGAAATTGAAACGTCGATAAACGTATTTTAACCTTTAATTGTGGCTTATTCTCAGTTAAATAGTAATTAATTTAAAATGCCACAAGAAAATAGCTTTAGAACCCTTTAGATAAGTTAAATTTTATAATAATTAATACCATTATACATCAGAAGTTTTTATTTCATTGTAAGTTTTTTTTAAACTATGGTGTATGTACAGTCACTGTGATTTTCCCTTTTATTATTTAATTTAATTTTTCTTGTAGGTATTCCCGTAATCTTCCAAGAAGAGTTAGAAGAAAAACCTGAACCTGGTACAAAAGCTCCAGTGATTCTAAAGGATGAAAAGCCACCACTAGCGCCTCCAGAATACAGTAAAAGCGGTTCTGTCAAATTGGCGGATGATTCGGAACCTTACCAACCTCCACCACCCTTTACACGTACTCAGGACAATGGCAGACAATCCAGACCAAAACCCACCCCTACTTATAGAAAACCACCCCCTTATGTGCCTCCTTAACAATTACACTTTACATTTTTTCAGCAATAAGCTTTGTCTGACTGCCAATTCGCGCGATTGGTTCATAATTATTCGAATAAACCTTTTATGACTCTGCAACTAATATTACTTTAGATGACTGGCCACATTTTGGAATGTAAGATAAGTCATTAGTTCAATGTAAATACTTATACAAAAGCGTTAGAATTTATACAATTATTAAAGACTACTCCGTTGAGGGTCATATTTTTAAACGATATTAGAAAAAAAATTAGTACATACACAGTTGATTTTGGTTATTAACTACAATTTTAAATTAAGTTCACGGCTAGGGACGGGTGTAAATAAGAGCGAGTAAAGAAATAACTCAATTCTAAAATCCACAGAATAAAACGGAATCACATTTAATATCACATCACATTAATACTGGTAGGTAATACTGTCGTAGGAAATTGTCGTGATTGATAATATTTTAGTAAAATAATGAAAAAAAGAATTATAATACACTTCGCTACATCCTGAATATAAAAATAATACAGTGATTTTGCCAAATTAACATTAAAGCTTGTATAATATTTTATCTAAAACATTGACCATAATCATTACCAATAATACAGCTGTAGTTTAGTAACGTTGTTTTTATTGTTATTAACAAACCTTAATTATCTTAGTAATTGAGATTGTTACAACATATATTAATTTAAAGGTACCAACCCGTCCCTAAAAAGAGCCCGGTTTTATTTGCTGTTTGCTAGATTTTAAAGTTTATTCAAAATTGTGATGTAAACGTAGGCTGCTATGTACTTCTAACAAATTATATACTTATTTTTAGAGCTTTTTGTATTGTATACAGTGAACTACTTACATACATTATGAAATGTCGTACAATTATTGAGTCGCCATCTCGATGCCAAATTCTCACACCCACAGAATATTTTAATGTTAGATATGTTCTTAATTCTGTACTCAAACACTCGAATTAAAGTAAGACTGCTTTTATACAATTGTAGTTTAAAGTGCATAAAAACTTTTTCCAAAATCCGCGGAATTGACATTTACATGTTTGAGAAGACTTTGCAACGCATATTTTTATAATCAGTGGTATAAATGGACTTAAGACAGTGCCCAATTTGTTCCATCGTTTATTGAAAATATACTCATTGAATGAAAAATATTTGAATAGCTGTTTAGTTGTCACCTTACTTGAAACGTTTTAATTCACTAGGTATATTTTAACGAAAACTTATATACTGTGTTATTTTATTCCCATTTCTTATTAATTTTTAGGCACCTTATTTATACTACGTTAACTTTTGTAACTGTTACAGTTATTCGTTTCCACCTCCATCTTTAACGATTGATTTAATTCTCGTTTCTTGTTTCAGCAATTGGGTTTTTTTTGTTTATGCATATTATCGAAGTATATTATTAACGATTCTTTAGATCTTTGGTGTATTTTACTTTACTGTTATATGCCTTAGGATACTCGTACGCATTTAAAAGTGGTCTGTCTGTCTCGCTCGGAAACACATTTAAGCGAAAATATCACACTCTCAGGATATGCCCAAATTAATTTCTCCATAATAATTGACCACTTTTATTTGACACACACCTTGACTTTGAGTAATATCTATGTTTATTTTACTATTAGTATGGTTAAGTAAATATGAGTACTCGTATATTCAGAAATCAAGATTTGAACTATTCAGCTTTTCACATAAATGATCAACTAAAGAAATGTAGGTATACTTCATACATAATTTCAATGTTATATTATTTTTTTAATGACATGGAGGCTTTATCCGACTAAAGTAGACAGAGCAAGTCTGTCTTTTACTCTGCCTGCATCCACCGTTAAGATTTCGTTTATTCTATGTAATTTCTTGCATCTTTTCCTAGCTTATATAATTTCGTTTCAGCTCTTGATTAAACTGACGTTTCTTATGGCCGTTCAGGATGGGAAGCTAAATAGAAGAATTGAGAAAAAGTTGTTCCTCGTTGGTGTATTATTGCGTAGAGGGTGATCGAGATAATAATAAAGATTCGTGTGACGACTTACTGCATTAACAACTTTTATTAGAAAAATTTCCAAGTGTTTTTCTAGATGCGTTCAAAGCAATAACGATAATCCTCGTCGCATATCCACATATATTGAACATAAGATAGAATACACCTCTTTTTTACACTATATAGGTACTTCCTGCTGAAATTCAGATAAAGTTTTTAACGGTTTTTATGATTTTAATCTCTTATAGATGGTTTTAAGACGCAGAAGAAAAATTAGTTGCCAATTAATTCATGCAAAAAAGTTTTTTATGCAACTAAACCTTTATCACTTTTATCCTAGTCAGCCTAGTGACATTTTTACTCCTTGATAATAATAATATATTTTCGGTCAATTCACATAAATATATTATTTTAACAACTCTTTCTCTGTGATAATCACTGCTATTATTTATTAGTCTGTTATTGAATTTACTTTCTTGCTATTTTCTTGTGGGTGATTAATTTAAATTAGAATAAGAACTAAAATTTTTAATTAAAATACATAGGACAGATCTAAACAATTGATCATTCTAAATATAAAATTAAGTAGAATTAAGTTAATAGCAAATAACAATAGTTTTGTTCGCCATCTTTTATTGTCTAAATTGGAGAGACCAAACCGTCAGTTCATTGACTGAGCGTTCACTCTTCAGTATCTGGGTGTATTTCCGTTCTAATAATTTCTCTTCGTGTTTTAGGGGCTGATTGTTAATCATATCCTCACCAGATGCTTTACGGCTTTTTATTATTGTTTACTGTGGGTTTATCGATAGTTCATTTTTTTATGCTGTCGTCCAATGGGCTACTATTATTACGAGCTTCTAATAATAATCACCTCCTCTATTACTACTCTAAACATTTAGTTGAGTATAAAATCAAATCAATGTCCTCAATAATGCTACTATGAATAAGCAGACATAAGAAACAGGTATCTATATTTTAGACCTCGACTTGTCTAGCTGATGAATGTTTGTTTTGAATCGAAGCGGTTCGTTGGTTGTAGTTACAGTAAATAGTTGGAAGAGTCCACTTACGCTACGATGAGAGTCCGTTATACAACATGTAAACTTTTTCAATTTTATTAAAAACTTAAAAAATAATAAAATTATTTAAATTTTAAAAATTCAGAAAACTAGACTGAAGCTTCGCGCTAGTCTATAGTAAGGCCTACTGTACCACTTTTTTATCCATCGATTACTTTTGATTTCATGGCTAATCTCTCTTATACAGTCTTATTGATGATTTTAAAACTAACAGCCAAAGAAAACTAGGAAAACCGAACTGTTTCAAACAGAAATCGTTCGTTTCGGAAAATAGTTCAGAAATTATAATTCTGACCAAAATATTTAGCAGTTATAGTATATTTAAATATTCAAGTGTATTATCGAATCAAATGTGAGACATTTGACAGTTTGCCTGTACGTATATATAATAGACATATAACCTTTAAAATTCACACAGATTGTCAATCATTCATTAATTTTTTAATTATTGTGTGGTATATAAATAATACTATTGTAAAGCGATTTTCTGGACTATATGTAAACGACTATTCTATTTACAATGTACAGTTGCGGTCACGGAATAGTTTACAGGTTCACGTATCTAGGAGCCCATTTTTTAAATTTTTACTTCGTTTAAACGCACCTTTTACGTCAAAGTGACGTTGCCAGTGGTGTACTAGCTAGAATAGGTAGATTAAAATTAAAATATCAAAATATTTTACAAAATGAAAAATATAGAAAACAGTTTTTTGAATAAAATGGATTATGATCTTAATAACGAAAATAAAGAAGTCATTTTTTTAATATGCATTTTATTTTAAATCTATTTTATATTAAATAACGATAAACAATGATAAATAATAATTAATATTTGGTGGAAGCCCCATTCTTGTCAATACAATTTTGCAGTCTTCTGTTCATAGATAGCACCAATCCCCTCATGTTATAGTTAACAAGCTCTTCCCATGCCTGCTCAATTGCTTCCCATAATTCAATTCTATTCCGTGGTCTAAGGTTTCTTTCATTTAGTTTCTTTGTTAACTCTGCCCACACATTTTCGACGGGGTTAAAGTCTGCACTACGGGAAGGCCACGGAAGAACATTAACATCAGTTTCTTCTAGCCATTCTCGAACAATTCTACTCGTATGCACCGGGCAATTGTCATGTTGGAAGATAAAGTCGTTGTTGGGGAATCTCTGGATCACCGATGGCAACATTGTGTGCTCAATAATATGTTTGTAATATAATCCTGTTAACTTCTCCTCTACATGATAACAAACGCCCGGGCCTTCGGCACTTATCCATCCCCATACGTTGACAGAGAATCCTCCACTATTTCTTAAATGATGCGTATACTGTTCATCATACCTATGATTTCTCGGCCTATAAACTCTTATTCGACCATTATTATACGACTGAAATACTTTTTCATCGGAAAATACAACCCTAGACCAAAAATTCTCATCGCGGTTTATAAATTCATTACAAAATTCAACTCGTCTCCTCTTGTGATCCTCAGTCAAAAAAGGTTTCCGTGCAGCTACACAATTTAGCAGTCCACTTGCTTTAATTCTTCGACGTGCAGTGCGAATACTGCCTGGAAACGCTGCCTCTTCTCTTGCCTTTTGAGCTGTGGCAAAAGGAGATTCTCTCAAATAATCTACTAACATCTCATCCTGTTGATCTGTGGAAATCTTCTGCCCTCCTGAACCGCCCAACCGTGCTATAGAGTGAAAATTATCCCATCTTTGTTTAATCTTCCATATGCACATATGACTCACGTTCAAATCAGCAGCAACTTGCCTTAGTGACCAACCTTCTTCGAGTTTGGCAATTGCTCTTGCTTTTTGCGCATAATTCAAATGTATTCTAACCATTTTGGAAGAGTTTAATATACTTTTATTTTATTGTTGAACACTCGCGAAAGCATTGACGTTTTGAAATTTTTTGACTTTGACATTTATCAAATCCGTACGACACTGCAATTTTACAGTATTACAATATAAAAAGTAAGGTGTAAACTATTCCGTGACCGCAACTGTACATGAACCTTCAATAAACATGAAACTTAACGAAGACCTATATGGTGTTATTACTGTCTGGAGAACACAAGCAATTGCTGTCGATGTTGGGGATCAGTTTGTTAGGTATAGGCAGTCTTATCTTATCTCAACGACCAGGAGATTTGAATTCTTACGCTGGTCTCGTAAGTTCAACTCAACATGGTGTAGATTACTCGGATGTAAGTAAACACGGATAATTAGTATGATAACGACTATAGGATTGAATTTAGATTCGGAAGAGAGTAGCTCTCATCTCAGTCGTACTACGACTACACAGCTCAGCACGCATGAGAGCGTTGTACTCTGGCAACTCTCAAGACATAAGTCTCTTCGAAGTCTTCTAAATAATTTTCTGTGAGGATT